GAGTCCTTGAGAGTGGGAAATAGTATTTCCACCCCCCTGGTGGAAAGAGACATGTGTATCTAATATCACCCTGTTCTCAAGACTACTACTGAAGTTAATGCTGGCTTTTCATTCTTCCGATGCTATAGTCATAAAACGTTATATGGTGAATTAAGATAAAGCTTCTTGAAACTATTTTTTTCTGGGATTTCAGTAAAAAAAAAAGATTACCATAAGAGCTGGAGAGGTTTCTCCCCTGCCCCTTCTCTTATGTTTCTTAGACAATTCATATAGACCCACATGCACAAGGAGAATAAGGGGTTTGATTACAGGTGTCAGTTATGTTGTGCTTGTCCCCTTATTGTAATAATTGGCTTGAGTTTGTTCATTAACATAACTGTAAAGAAGTGCACATGAGAAAGAAAGCAAAATAAAAGGAAAGAGGTGAAGCTTTCCAAGTAAATGTGAGGCCCTGTAAGAGGTCTGGTTTGTCTGGCGTTACTCCTTTACTGAAGCTCATTACATCAAATATTTCAGAAGAGAGCATAAAGATCTCTTGGATCGATTTAAGAACAAACGCTTGTGAATACAGCCTGGGAGGCTAAGGAGACAGGTCTCTAAGCCATTTGGACCTGCTTTAGGGAATGTCTGTTCATAATTTAAAGTCCAGCATAGGCACAGAAGAACTGTGAGATTCTAATTTCAAAGGCCTCACTTAACTTCACAGAGATCCAGGTTCTCAAAGGTGTTTATGCATCCAACTCCTGCTATCTTTAATGTAAAGGATTAGAAGTCTAAACTTCATTGGAGAGAAAGGTCGTGGAGATGAGAGGGGTTACCAGCTAGCCCTGACAGTGATGCATTGAGTGATTTGACTGAAATTTAGATTAAATGATTTCAAAAGTTTCTTTCTTTGCTTTCCATTGCATTCTTAAGCTTTTAAGCAGAAAGAACTCTACAGGCTCAAAAGAAAGGCAATGAGCTTTGCATTTCCTTGCTATAAATTAACTGGGAAAGGATGCTTTGTCAGACTGAATATTGAGGTTGGAACACTTTCCATAAATTAAAAGGTAGTAACAGGATATCTACTTTTTCAAACTGGAAAACTTACTACTGAATACTTATGTGAAATTGCCAAGCTAAGCAGCGTGTTTCTCCACCTTGACTGCAGTGATAATCCACAGAACCCTGTTTTGGATAGGGATAATAGCAGCCCATTAACTTTTTTATTAGTGTATTGGAATAACATGTAATCTAAATGCCCCAGTTTCTTGTACATATCTGGTATCTGATTTGTATGCCTGCTTAAGTTTATTGTGGTCTGAGTTGTTTTTTATGCATTGATTTTAAAAATAATTTCCTTTTACCCCAAAGGTATTTAAATTGAAAATCGTTCAGGAAAATTTTTTGCGGTTTCACACTCCTCTCCTCCAGACTTTGTTAAAACAGTGAACAAGCATCATAGAGAGGGCTAGTGGGTAGTTAGCTGTCCTAGAAGAAAAGGGCATGGAGTAAGAAATTATATATGCTGTGATGGAAACTTAAAAAATAGCAGTAGTCCTGAGGTCTTTGTGATTACATCTTCTCTGCCCTTATATTTCAGCTAGGTATTTCCTCCCAACTTGAGAAGATTCAGGACTGCTTTTCTAGGAAGAGTAGTGTCAGCTGGATTCAGAACACAGAGTAATTTCCTGAATCAACAGGTAAAGCTGAGATCAGGGTCTTCAGATTACTGATAAACCTGCAAAGGGGTGTGCGGTTTTTGTTAACCACACTGTGAGAGCGATCTGGGGACAGTGTCAGTTTGAATCTGAGACAACCATTTGAAATACTTCAGTCATTACAGGACAGTACGAAGTCATGTTTGATTTTTTTTTTTTTTTTTTTTCTTGAAGACTAAGTGTTTCCAATGGTTGTATGGGTGCTGCACAGTTGCTCCAGGCTTACTGGTAATGAGCTGTTTGCTCCTGACTACCCTGGAATACCAGTTTGTGAACCCTATTAGCTGCATCTTTACATCATGGAAATATGTGGCTTGTCATTTTTCTTAAGAAAAAATATTGGGAAGCAATTGAATTTGGAAGCTTTTTATAAAAAAATCTACTTTTCAATAAATCCTAAATTAATGCAACTTGAAAGACTAATTGAGAGCTCAGGGGCTTAAAAAGGGTTGAGAATTGTTTGAGAAAAGCAATACTTGGGGATCTTTTGCTCCATGCTTGGTTGATGAACCCAAAGAGATGGACTGAACAAGTATTTTTGGGGTTAGAGTGGCAGATCACTGATTGGATCGTGTAGTACTTGGAAATAAGCAAAAATACACAGAAAAAGTTGAGGGGGAAGAAAAAAGTAATTGGCTTGAAGGCATTCACCCTGCCACACCTTCCAAAAGCAGGGTAACACCCTGGCAGTACTGTTCAGGGGAATTCATGTTCACTGGTTTTGTCACAAAGATTAGGTGCTCTCTGAAGCACTGGAATTGAATGTTTCATATGTGGGGTTAGGTTTCCTTAATTATGTGGGGTTAGGTTTCCTTAATTAGATTCATTAATCTTCTCAGTTCTGAGCTGATCTTCCTCTACATCCCCAGGATCTGATATTGCGGCCAATTTTTTTTAAGTAATTAGTGCCTTGATTTCACTGTAGAGTAATATTTACAGCTTAAGCTTTTTCCTCTGACTCTAGTTCCATCCAACCTCAAGAGCTATTAACTCAGATGTATTTGCTAATAAATGAGCTCTATGGTGGAAATATTTCAAGATTTCTGATAGAGAAAAGTAACCATCTCATGATTCTGATGCAAATTACTTTTTATTACCTTTAAAATTATGGGATTGTGAGTGGGTTTCCACACTGATGTGTTGGCTATTGTCCTGGGTTGCACATAAATGGTCTCTTTTGGCTTAGCTTTAGCATTTATGTGGCAAGTTAGACTGGAGAGCAGACTCAGCTGAAAGCTATTCTTTTCCTAAATCATTGGATTAAAGCAACAGTAGAACAGTATCTTTAAGGGTTGGGTCTTGTGAATGTCTTAAGCAGCTTGACGGAAAGGAAGAAGCCTTTCAAGCAAGGCCCATACCTGTACCTTGCTGAAGACTGTCCTCCAATAAGCCTTGCTGCTGTTTTTCTTATAAGTGGAGCTCTGTCACACTGTGCAAAGTGTCCCATAAATAATCTGAGTATACAGAAGATTGCTTCATGTCAGATTGGAATAACTTATTCTCCCAATGCCTCAGTAAAGAGTGATAATCTTTTTTTTTAAGAGAAAATAGATTGATTCCTGTTATCTGTATCAGATATTAAAGATAAAAGGGTCTACTAATTGATTGCAATTGCTGATGTGTTTTATCAGATGAATGAGTTAAGTAGTTCAGGTAGTAGTTTAAACAATCAAGAGTTAAATATCTTTTTCCAAGCCATAGATTTAGAGTGCAGCAGCTTGCAAGTCAGTTAGTGTCCATGCTATTGTGGGAACTCGGTGGTTAGTACGTGGCTCAGAACATGAAGCATTAGGGTATTTCAGTTCATGTGCAGAGCTACATCCTTCTTTTCAAAAGCTGTTTTGGGAGAAAAATGGACTGGTTTTCACAAAGGCAGAGCTGTGATTAAAGGACGGTCTGCTTCCCTGATGGACCCTTTTGCTTAGTAGAGGAGATCTTCCGATAACATAATGAAGCGAATTTTGTTCTTGCAGTGGGAAACCATAGCAACCTGCCACTTTAGAATGCATGGTATATAATCTGTCTGTCCTTCAGATAGTATTTTGCAGTCCAGAAATAGTCATCGTTTCCTAATGTGTGAATGTAAAATGTCAGACAACTGTAGCTGGAGTGACAGTGTTGTCTCTGAGGTAAACATGAGCACTGTTGTGCTGCTTGTCTGGTGCTGCACACTTGGAAAGCAGGTTCCAGAGGAGGGTAAAGGTAGTCTATTTTATTCTCACTTTTTAATAAATAGGTTACAGAGGTGCTCTTAAAATCAGTAATTGAAAGAGCTTGCTGCAGTCCCCTTAGCGCCACTCTTACCTTGCCCTCCAACCCATACATGTCCCTACTTACTTTTGGCAGTTTGCTTAAATTACAGTATTTACAGTTCTAAGTAGGTTTTTTTTGGTCACTGGTATCTTTGACATCACTTTGTTCAGGCTCAAATAACCATAGAAGTACACAGTAATTATGCAGTGGGGCAAATGCCCTGAAACTTGCTCACAGCTGGCCAAAGCTGCTGTCTCTGCTTGATGAAAACACAGAAAGTGTTCGTCCTTGGTTAAATAAATAAAATGTGTGTGAGCAATGTCAGGCTCCTCTCTTTGTGTCTCCTTCCCCCTTACAAGTTCTGAAATAAAGTTGAGAGAAGTATTTTCTGCAGAAACAGCATTAATTACTTAAATAGTTAAAATTTAGCTTGCGGGTCTTACCATCTGCTGCCAGTTTTAAAGACTGGGCTATCAGTCTGGAAAGAGATGATTTAGTCAGCTTTTGTGTGAAGAGGACCAAATGAGTAGTCCACTGAAGGAATAAATAGCAAATGTTTAATGATTATTACTAGGGACAGGTTTAGACTAAACACCCTGTATTTCCTTTAAAATAGTATCATGACTCCAGCTTGTTTAGGAGTGTTTAGAAATAAACTTCAGTAGCACAGAATGTTCTTGATGAATGTACATTTTGTGGAATAGAGCCATTTCAAGTGGTTTTTTTCTATAACTCAAGTGTTAATAGCCAAAATGTATTGTTTAAAATGCAAAATTATTTTGATAGGGCTGTGTTTTACTTAGGAGAGCAGAACAATATTGGATCAGTGTTTCTTCTGTTGATCATTCTACTGTTTCTGTGTTTTAGTGAGCCAAGGCTATTAGGTTCCTTCTGTTCCTTAAACTGATCTGGCTCCTTATTGTTTGTGACACATCAATTTCTTTTAAAATTGTAGTTAACCAAATTTTTCTTGTCACTTACGCCTCCATTTCTCTGCCTCTTCTGACGCTTTTTTTTTTAAAAATGTCTGTTCAATAGCAGTTTTTATTCCCCTGCCGCCTCTCAGTTTGTTTTTTATCCATCTTTGAGTAATTAGGCCTTTATGAACAAGAGTGGAGCATATTTAAACTATTCCCACTGTCATTGTTTTGGTTCTAATCCTCTATGTGATCTGAATCCAAGTTGCTTTCAGCTGTTTAATTGTTTTATTGTATATTTGGCACTTGCATTTGTAGGTAGATGGATTAAGCACTGAAATCACTTGCTTGTGATCACTTGTGTCTAAGCAAATGCTATGGGTTTCTTGATTTGTTTTTGGTTTAGTGTACTTGCAGTTTTTTCTCCCTTTTTTTGCTCAGGGACCTAATAGAAACCCCTCTTGTTAAGGGAGGACACTTCAAGTTGAAAGAAAATGTAAATGACAGAACATATGCTCAGATCTATACTACCAAAACTACTAATAAAAACAATTGCGTTGAAAACTGTGGTCTTTTGAGAAAGCAGAATGTGAAATTCAGATTTGTCCCGAATGAGGGCAGTAGCGGCCCATGATTTGTGTAGTGGTTATTCATGTTGAATGTAACACTCATTAAAGACTCTGAGCTTTGGTATATTTATATTAGGTGTTTCGGTGAATGTGTTGTGGAATTACTTTTATAAATTCAGAGCTGAGAAATACCAGAAAAGACTGTGAAGAGAGATATTTTTATGAAGGGGACTTTCAACTTAACCTCCTACTGGAATGATTTTTGAGTTCCAAAGAAAAGCAAGACAACTTGCTGAAGGGAAGAAAATGCTATCACTTGACAAGTAAAGTTGGCAAATCTGCATTTCAAGTTTTCTAGTTTTTCAGGAGATGGTCAGGTTTTACAGGAATTAAACTTAATTTTTACTGAAGGATTATTGTCCATACACAATGTTTAATTTTACTGTTTAGTTTGATATCCACAGAGTCTATTTACATGTACTTAAATCATGTACTTCTAATTGTTACATCCTCACGTAGCTGCTTTGCAGTGGCAGTTATAGAAGTACTAGATGAATAATTACCCTTCCCTCTGCCTTAACATGAGACCTGTCATGTTTTCTTAATTGGCTTTCAGTATTGAGTAACATTAGTAGATTTGTGAAGGAACAATATGTGTCATTGTAGGTGTCTTAATGCATGTTACCTTCTGCGGAGAGGATTTGTGGGAGGGAAGCCTGAATTTTGGAGCTTTGTCAGGTTATCTGTGTGCTGTGAGCTCAGAAACAAGGGGCAGTACTCTTTCTTGTCACTTTGGTTGCTCATCTTTATCTGTGGGAAGCACAATTTCACAATTTTCAAATTAAAAAACTGTGAACCTCATGAGGTTCAACAAGGCCAAGTGCAAGGTCCTGCACCTGGGATGGGGTAACCCCCAGTATCAATACAGCCTGGGGGGAGAAAGGATTGTCTGTGTGCTGTGAGCTCAGAAACAAGGGGCAGTACTCTTTCTTGTCACTTTGGTTGCTCATCTTTATCTGTGGGAAGCACAATTTCACAATTTTCAAATTAAAAAACTGTTTATTAAATGCCTGCTCTAAATAGAGTTTTCCGTAAGGTTAAATTTCCATGATGTCATCCATCTTGGCAAAATTACTGTTGCTTCTATCAGTTTCTTCTGTGTAACTTATCCCTTTTAGATTTCTTCCTTGCTTCCTGTAAATGAGCTTATACATTATGCACCTACAACCTGTTTTCCTGGTGTTCCCATTCAGAATAACTTAAAATACATGGCAATCAATGCTGCTCAGGAAAACTGTCATATTTGTGTTCCCAGATGTATTGGAAGGTTAAAATCTTGTAGTTGGCTCAAAGGTGATGGCATTCACTGTAATGGATTGCACAGAAAATCAATAGGAAAGAACCATTGTTTGAAAATGTTATTTCAAGCTAATGTCAGATTAAAAAATATATATCAATAAAGCCTCTGGTATTGGCTGGTGACCTGAGAATGTATGGCTTATTCAGTTACTCTGTATGCAGTTTTATTTTTCTTTCGGAATAATTAGCATCTTTAAGCTTCTGTGCCTCTAGCCTCAACTTCCCTTGCATCTGATTTAATTTAATTGTAACATGGAACTTTTTTTAGATTGACAGAAGGAGACCTGTAGAGGCTGTCTTCATAATCATTGCCATGAGATAAAGGCCTGCAGCATGTTGGAAGGAATTTTTGCTTTTCTTCCCCTCTGTGCTTACCTGTTGAGTGTCCCAATTCCTACTGAGGGGAAGAGGAGGAAAAAGAAAAAAAAAAAACAAAAAAAAAACAAAACCAAACAAAAAAACCCAAACCCAAACAAACCAAAAAAAAAACCCCCAAAAAACCCACCACATTTAAGGAAGAGTTGAATCACCAGTAACTGTTTTCTTTACCCCTGTAGATAAACAGGTAAAATATGTTTCCAGCTTGTCTTGTGGAAGAAAGAATTAATTTTATTAGAAAGTATTTTGAAACTTTAAAGAGAAAGGCAGGCAAGACTAACAGCTACTTCTAGAAACTTTGTAGCAACTAATGTCTCAAAACTTACCTAGAAAAAAGGAGTAAGGTGAAAAATTGGCTAATAATTAAAATCCCTTAGATTATTTCTAATGTGATCCCCAGATAACATAACCTGTAATTTCTTGGGTCCTATGGTCATGCCTATTTCCCTGTTTCTGGCAGGATTAAGTAGCCAAGGTAGTTAGTGTACTATCAGACCCTTTGTTTCTCCTTGTCCAAGGCTTCCTTTCAACCCCTTGCCTATACTTGTGATTTCTAGTGTTTGTTATACTGATAAATCTGTATGGACTTACATGCCTCAATCAAGAGCCGCTTTGCATGGTAGTGCAGGCCCATCCCACTACTGGGAATGTGACAAGGCTTTCTGCTTTGCCAACGACTTTCACTTCTGGCTTTTTATTTCCTTTCACCCAGAGCTTTATTCAAAATCGGTATTGCTGCTTATCTGCTAAGCAGCAGCATGTCAATAAGCTGATGGCACACAGTTTGTTGCCAGGTAAATTTGCCATGGATAATGGAGAATTTACTGAAATGAAACCATTTTGGACACTTGTATTCAATTCTTCCCTGTGCATGGAAAGTTATTAACATCCCAGGATCCAGCCGGGAACTATGATACTTATGTCTGCAGTCCCATCCTTCTAACAGCACCTGTGGTCATGACCGTACTGGGCATTGACTAGATGTAATGTAAGAGCTTCCATCTTTAATAGCTGGTAACTAGTCAAAACTTAACTATGGGTCAAGTAAAACGGCGTCTTTTTTGTGAATCCTTAAATCCTCATTCAGTATGTTCCATCAGAAACATATTTTGCATTTTTTTCAAAACCCAGTGTTTCTACTTAGCAATCCTTGTACCTGTATCCTAGTTTGTGGATTTTCATAATTAATGAAGAGATGAGTCTCACTTGGTACATCTCTGAGACAGCACTGAAAGTGAATAGATTTCATTAAGTACTCCAGAGAGCTTCTACACCATAACTCATTGCAGGCTGTTTTTGGTTTGGTTTATGGGAGGGTGGGGTTTTTTTGCTTTTAAAATAAAAGTCTTTGAACAGAGAACTATTGATATGTTGAGAAAATCTGAAATGGTTTTCCCCATGTCATAGTAATCATATTTACCACATGTAGTTACTGAAACTTTTTTCTAATCGGTCCAGAGAACTGAACTCTGCTTATCCCCCCACAAACATTAAAAATTGTGCTTAGAGGCTTTGAGATACCTTAATGCTTTTTTAAAAAAAAGCTTTGTACAGTAGGATGTTCTATATAGTTTCTTACATTCCTTTGTTTAAATTCTAATGTAATAAAAATAATATTTTAAGGAAAAAAAATGACACAGCGGTCACTGTATTGTGGGTATATGCAAGCCAAATACTGCAGAAGTACCTTTCAAGTACCTAAGGGCCTTTGTGTGTTTTAATGGAAATAAGAATTTCAACAGAAGGCAGCCATCTTTGAGTGGAGAAGAAAATGTAAGTCATGGCTTGTTTTACCCATAAGCCAGGAAAAAAAGTAAAGGCTTTGCAGGAAGCCATTCAGAACTACATTGGCTTTTATGGTCAGTATGTTCAAATACTCATGTCCCCATTCATCATGTCCTTCAGTTTACAGAAAAGAACTTTATTGGATGCATAATTCTTTTTGCAAACCTCTGATAGAAACCAGTAAATATAGGTTGTCCTCCTCCTGCAAGCCTACAGTCTGCACTTAATTTTCTTGAATGTTTTGTTAGTTTTCTCAGTCACTGTGCTTCTCAGGGCTGTCTTCTGTGTTAAAATATTTTATGCTTCTGTGACTTCTTTAAGGTGATTATGTGACCAGTACAGCATCATTTTGCATGCTAAGGAGTTGCTCTTCCAGATGTGTGTTGCTGAGCATTCACTATGACAGCTGAAGTCAACACACATCCAGCATGCCTGAAATTTAAGCCCTGAGGCCCAATCAACCTTTTGCTGAAATCGGTGAAAATGCTGGCAGCAGTGGGAGCTGGACTGAGGACAAAAAGTCTTTTGAGGCAAAAGTCAGAGTAGGAATATGATGAAGTACTGGGTTCCTGCCCAGCTCCAATGCTGGCTATTGTCCAGAGTTAGTCTGTGCTTGCCTGCCCGCCCTCTGTGCCTCGTTGCTTTGCGTTGTTGGAACAATCACTTTAGCACTTTCAAATGTAACCTTTGAGAGCTCCCTCTGGCACAAGCTCTGTAAAGTGCATGTGTGGCAATGTTTTGTTTGTGTCTTTTTGATGTTGTTCTGTGAAAAATGATAAAACTTAAGTGTGCTGTTTGTGGTTTAAAACCTGTGGACTTCAGAGGATTTTCCCTGAGAGGCAGAAGCAGACAGGCCCTTGCTATAAAGTGGATATGATAAATAATCACATGGAGACTGTTTTGCACTTGTTCCCCTCTGCAGTTATTCCAGGTCTCTCTTCGATGTCGTGTTCAGCACACTGTGTCTGAGCCAGGCTTTCTGGTTAGTGTTCAAAAGAACTAATTACAGGAGAAGAACCTGAGAGACTTCTCCTCAGTGCTCTTGGACAGACCTTTGAGTAGATGAATACTCTTATGCCTCTTTTGAATGCAAAGCAAGCGTTTTCAACACAGGCAGTAAACATGCCAGTGTAACTGTAGGGTTCTTTAAATAGAAAAGGGGTTCTTTTAAACAGAAAATAGCTCCTGTTTCATATCCCAGGGAGCTGAGTTGCAATGGGACCCCACTCACTTCTGGGCACAAGGGTTTTTTTATTTGGTTTTTGCTTTAATTTTTATGAGTATATTTTATTTGGATACTTCCAGAGTCCTAAACCGTAAGAGCTGTATAACTTCGAACAACAAATATTTGGCCAGTCTGAACCTATTGTCAGTTTTCATTCCTTCTGCTTATTTAGTTATGTTTAAACTCTTAAATCTATGCTTCTTAACATTTCTGTTATGTATCAAAAATGAATCTTGGGTTTTGTATATATAAACAGCAACTGCCAGGCTCTTATTTCTCACTCGTTAATGTGAAAACGCATTATGCTCAAATGTGTGTGCTGAAGTACTAGGCAGTTGTGTGAAGGCAGGCTAGTAAGTGACTCTTGAGATACTTGAGTGAAATAGGGGTGTTCTTACTGAGGCTGTATGGAGTAGTAACAGCAAAAAAAATATTTGCCTTTATGAAACTGAGTGAAATGTCTAGTGAGTGAGAGCTGGTTAAGAAATTTTAGACAAATTTCTTCTTAGGTTAGGCTAATTTCAACAAAAGCATGCTTTCAAAAGGTCAGGATGTTGCTTCTGGTCAGAACTCCAAGGAGAGACCCCTACCATCAGCAGCTCATACGCTATGCTTCTATACTTACAGTTATGGTGAACTTGGGTTGAACTGTAAGCTATCTGGACACTTCAAAAGTAGAGGTTTGAATGGGTCTTTTCTCCATCCTTGGTGATAAACCAGAAGAATGAACTAATTCTGGGTCCTTCTGGATCTTAAGAACCAAATTCCATTATTGTTTTTTAAATATCTCAACTTCAATCATATGAAGCCTATGTTGGCCTAATATAGATGTGAAAATCTCTACCCCTTGACCACTGTAGCATGTGTGAATATTAAGAGATGTTAAGCTGTACTGCCTCCTGGCACTTCAATGCCTAATGATGGATCCTTCCCTGGAGTACCAGAGGAAGATTGGGAGGTGTGTTATCACTATTCTGTTCTTTTCTTCTCTCTTCATGATAAGCTGCTTGACTACCAGAAGCAAATGTAAGAACTAGTGCTGTTGAAAAGTATAAAATCCCATTCATCTCCTTCCTAAGTCTGGTTGTGTACTCTCCAACTAGGTGAGGCATCCCCCAACAGAAACGGTGTTCCTTGTGGATGCTTCATTATTGGTTTTGCTTCTGGATCTTGTGGAATTCAGTGACCATAGGGATAATGCATCTGCAAAATAAATACTGTTTGTTCAGGAGCTTAGATAATGTTTGTTAAAGGACTGTAGAGTGCTCCTAAAGGTGCCCCAAGTGCCTGAATTACTTGTTCTGCAGTGTTCAGCGTTTTGTACAGCCTGGAAACATGAGTGAAGCTATTAGAAGAAATTGCCATACAAATGACAAACTTTCTGAGATGAAAGCAAGGATAACAAAGAATAGTGGAAGGTGGTGGGGGGGGGGGTGGGAAGCATGCAAATAATATTTGTAGTACTTGGTGGTACTGCAGCTCAACTGATATAGATAGAGTAAGTGTTTATGTGGGCTAGAGAAACCAAGTCAAACATCCTGATTTAAATAGTGTTCATGATAAAATCATAGGTTGATGGAATTCTGCTTTGAGTTTGCAGTGGACTATAAATATGCATGTAACTACTAAACTGGCCATCATAAGTCACTGAACTGTAGAAACTCCACTTGTCTGTAGCTTTTTTTTTTTTGACCATGTAGTATATCTTAATGTTCAGACATACTACCCTGCAATATTTTGAACTTCCCCCAAATTCATGTAAACAATGTCCTTCTAATGTACAGAAAAAAGAGGCTTTAATGTGCTGGCTTCCTCTCTCTAGTATTGGAGTCTTTAACAGATTAGACCTGTATTTCAGATACTGTAGAGTAAGACAAAGAAATTATTTTAAGACTTCCAACAGCTTCTGCTTAAAAATCAGAATATGATGCCAAGTGGCATCTTGTGTCATTTGCTGCCAAATATCATTTTACCTCATAGAATTTAAATCCACTCAAGTGGTGTGAAAGTAAAATTAAAAATCAGCCTACCGCTGTTACTTAAAGCTTTCGAGTGTACTTGGAAAACTGAGATCAATGGAAGCCTCTACTGAAATATCAAATTAAAAACAGGGATTATCTCACTCATTTAAAAGCTAATTTAAAACAAACTATCTGCAGTAGGGATTCTTGTTACGTAGTGGACTTAAAGTTCAGTTCACGCAGTTTCTGGTGAAGTTTTTGTGGTTTTGGTATGATTGTGGAATGAAGTCTTCCATGTTTACATAAATACAGTAATACAGACTGGAGAGCTGGGTACAACTGCAACCTATTTTTCTTTTTTTTTTTTTTTTTTTTAAGGCTAAATCTGGATGAACAGATAAAACTCCTTTAGAAATACTATGTAGATATGCTAAAAACTCCCCAAAGTAACTTTCATTTGGTAACATCAAATGTTCTATTGGTACACGAAACAATATACACATGAAAGTGATTTTTTTTTTTTAATGAATAGTGTCATATTCTAATGAAATCCTTTGTGTGAGGAGAAAAATATTTCTCTAAGGTATAGAAATCTATAAACCAGTGAACCTAACTGTAGGGAAGGGATCAGTGTGCTCAGAGTTGCCACAGAGTGCTCTTGAACATGTGAGAACTTTCAGAGAGGGAAAATTATGGATGCTGCCACATGTCTGAGAGCAGCTTTTGTTTTATGCAGTTGTGCTTGGATGGAAGTTGAGGTTGCTACTGCTGACATGTGCTGCCTGTAGAGCTCTCCTGGCTCCATCTGCACAGGCACAGAAAGGAGCTGTGGGATGGGAGGGTCCAGCTGAGGCCACCCTGGCATATCTCTCCAACTTGAGCATCAGAGTGAAAATTGAGAGATATGTAATACTGCCAGCAGTAACCATTGCTGTCATACTGTCCATAAGAGACCCGTGTCTTATTTAGACACATGAACTGGTCAGTTGAGCAGTAAGAGTGTTCTGAAGGAGTTGGAGTTTACCTTTGGCAAGGGTGTCTCTGGTACTGACATACGGAGTTACCAGACTTCAGTGTTGAAAACAGAGGAGCTCTAACCAAAGCCAAAAATGATGTTTGGTTCAGTTGATTTTAGGAAAATGGGGTATTTTCCAGCACAGAATTCCTTGCGGAAGGAGACTATGTCTTTTTAAAAGCTATGAAACTATTGACTTCTTAAAAGGCATGAGAATTTTATAGTATCCTACTTCATTGACTAGCTCTGCTTGCTAGAAAGATTAAAAAAAAAGCTTACAGTTTGTTCCCAGAAAGTTACATAAGTTTATGCTTACAGTTGTGTGAAGTAGAGCAAGAGCATGTTAGCACCTCTTTCCATATTGTGAAAGAACGTGCATGGGGAAATGTATTCAGAAGAGCTTGTGCAGAAGGATGAGTTTGTGGAAGGAAAAATATCCCCAGGGAAGTTCACTTCCCTGTGCCATCTTCTATTTTTGTTCAACTTCAGTGTCACCATTTAGGTATTACATTCCTTGAAATAGAACTTGTTTCTTAATGTTTTTCACAATTAAGAGAAAGATAATCCCAAGCAAGATGTGAGCATTGGGGGGACCTCATACCCCATCTTGAAAGTGACACTTGTTCTGTGAGTATATCTGGATTTAAGTTCCTATCTGTTTTTCTCTCCCCCCTCTCTATTGCTGCTTTCTAGCCTAAACAGTCTACAGATCCCCCAAGGTGTGGCTAAAGCTCAGATCAAAAGGGAGTATCCATTGAATAGAAAGCTGATGTTAGAATCAGGTATTTGGTTTCTCTAAACACATCCTAACGCTGCACAGTTCAAAAGCCTCTCTGCTTTTCTTAAAACTGAAAGTTTAACTGCTTATTCCACCTGTGCCCTTGATGTCGTCTTTATGTATTTCTATTTTTACTCTTGCTTCTCTTGTGCAGATCTGTATGGTTTATCAAATGACTTCACCTTCGTCCATCTGTGAGCCAGTATTAGAAACAACTTTAGAAAAAAAAATTGTAGATATTATGTACAAGTCATTTAGAAAGTAACTTCTAATGCTGGTTAACTGTACTACATTATTCAAAAACTTTATTAGTCTGCCAGTCAATACAAAATTTTGATGAAGGCGAAAGGAATTACTTTAACTTCTGGGGCAGACATCGCAGTTTCTCAACACTTGTAATCATAGGCAACTTACATATTGAGGAAAGCCAAAGAAAATCTACATGTGAAATAGATAGGTCTCATACACGAATGTGGGATGGCTTGTTGGATTCTCATTTGTTTTCAAATTGATATGTCATTTGCTTCCATAATATTATGTTTTCCTTTTTGCTTTGTATGGCTACTTTGCATCTATTCCCAAAAGAATCCTATTATATGATGAGAGGAGCATCAGGAGTATATAGTTTAAATGCCATTGGAAAATGAGTATGTGGGATTTTTTTATTTTGAGAATTGTGATAATTAAATTTCAGGCAAAGTTTCATTTTCTGCTCATGCCACATAGCAGTATTAAGTGTTTTCATGCTCCATCACTCCTTTTTTTTTTATTAACTTTCTATTTAGAGTAGGTTTTTTGGAAAACACTTTATCTTAATAAGAATAACCTATCAAGCAAGAAAGCCAGCAGAGTTCACATTATCACACTCTCTGTACAGGAGTTTATCTTTTTGCCGCCACTACTGCATTCCACACTGCTCTGATGTTGGAAAATGGATTGGTTTTAATGGTTGATTTTTGACTGGCAAAGGCAGAGAGGGCACCATTGGCCTGTCACAAAAATGATAAGATTAGAACCAACTGAATAGACACACAACAGGTTAAAGAGCTTTTGGGAGAAATGTGCTGTACACGGGCACCTCCGATCGGCATTAGCATTCTCTGCCTGTTACAGAGACTCTTTAAAATGCCATTTGCATTGATGATGGTATAATTGACATGGCTCCCCAAGGAGCTGTAGGGATTGTAAGAAGCTCAAAGCTCAGGAAAACTCATCTGTTCTTGGGACTCATATAGTCTGAGGCTTTGT